ATAGGATTTCCCAATCATATTTTACGAAATGTTTGTAAAAAGATGCGGAACCTTGCCAAAGAGACAATTTTTTGTAGTTGTATAGAAAAACTTTAACGAACCAATAAATAATGGCTATGAAAAAATTAATTATTCGGTCGAAAAAATATCACCACCAGTCTGATCTTCCGAAAAACTATGCCGTCTCGGTACTTCTTAAAGATATAACATATTCAGTTCAATACGCTTACGGAGATCCTAGAATGTGCCATGATTACAACTGTGAGCATGATGGAGTAAAAGGTGACATTAGGCAAAAAACGGAATAGTACATTTTTATTTATACTGAATGCCATTGTTCCAACTGTGGCTGGGAAATCAAGAAGTTTAATTGAAAATGTTGAAACCAACACGGTCAAAAGATTTAATAATGTTATAGCTAAATTTGTCGGTGGGAAAAGAATTAATTTTGCTCTCAGATGCGGATACCAAGGAAGATGTGCAGCAGCAGTAGTATCTTTTATCAGGCATGCCGCCATTTCAGCTGAGCAAAAAAAAATTGTTAAATAGAAGTCCTTCAAGAAGAGTTTTAAAGTACATCGAAAAAAAGGGCCCATAAACGTAAACTGGATTTGGAACATCCAGTAAAAAAGATACGTAGATTTCAAAACGCTAATAACGACCTATAGCACGACTATGGTCAAGCTAGGTCGGCACCAGATCGGCTCTGACCGCCCCGAATAGGGCGCGCCTCTGGCGCCCCCAGAGGATATTGGCGGTCAGAGCCATACGCGGATACCGCACGGTGTCCACCGAGGCGGCTTGCGCCTTGGCCGGAACACCCCCGTGGGATTTGGAGGCGGAAGTGCTCGCCGAAGTTTATCGGCGAGTGGCTGACTTCCGGGCGGAGAGCGGATTTCGCCCTCCGCCCGAGGACGTGCGCGAGTGGCGCGAAGCCGCTCGCCGAGCCACCATGGTCAGATGGTCGTTCCGGCTGGAGACTCCACGCGCTGGCTTCGCCGCCGTGGAGGCTCTCCAGCCGGTCATAGCCGAGTGGGCAGGGCGGCAGCACGGGGCCCTTTCCTTCCGGCTGACGCAGGTGCTTTCCGGGCACGGTTGCTTCGGAAAGTACCTGCACTCGGTCGCTAGGAGGGAACTGAGTCCCGCCTGCCACCACTGCGACTGCAGTGAGGACTCGGCCCAGCACACGCTGGCGGTCTGCCCCGCATGGGCGACGCAGCGCCGGGCCCTCACTGCAGTCATCGGAGCAGATCTCTCGCTACCGGCCGTAATTCGCTCCATGGCCGGTAGCGACAGTTGTTTTACCGCGGTCGCAACCTTCTGCGAGGAGGTAATCTCGCAGAAGGAGGCGGCGGAGAAGGCCCGGGAGGACGACCTCCACTCGGACCTGATCCGCCGCCGGCGAACCGGGCGGCGGAGGCGCGCTTACCTGCGCCTCATGCCGCCCTGAGTGTGGCCGTGGGTGGACGGGGTGGGTTTCCCCTCCACCCGCATTAGTTGGCCAGCCGCGAGGGGGCGGCGTCCGCGTGTGCCGGACGTCGCCTAAAGAGAGGAAAATCTTGAGACGGGGCCCGCAATAGGAGCGGGCCGGCGCTAGGAGGGGTCCAGAAGGCGATAACTACCTGGACCCCTCCTAAACTGGAAGCGCAAAGAGGGCACACCGTGTGGTTTTAGTCGGTTCGAGTCCGACACACCACCCCGCCGCAAACCCCGGTGGGGTGACGGTCCGAGGGGATTTCCACACGTTAAAAAAAAAAAAAAAAAAAAAAAAAAAAGGTCGGCACCAGATATGTCAATGTTTGATTTGGAGCGAAGGAAAGCTAGTTATTTAAACAAATTAATCAATCTTACAGCAGACAGAGATCATATTGAAAGATGGATCGTCCTACAAAGGGACTCGAGTGAGTGGCTTGAAATAAGAAAAAAAAATAACAGCTTCGAATTTAGAAAATATTTGCAAGAAGAAACCCTCTACGGATACATCTTCTTTGGTAAAAAATATTTTGTACAAAAAGAATTTGTCGCAAGTGACCTTGGTAGCTCATGGGATTGAAAATGAAAAGCAAGCCATACAACAAATTCAGCAAGAAAACCAATTGAAAATTTAAGCATGTGGACTTTTTATTGATAAGCAATACCCATTTATTAGAGCTACACCTGATGGCTTGATTGGGAATGATATGTTAGTTGAAGTGAAATGCTCATAAGTTTCTGCCAAAGAAGGATTGCAGCAAGCCCCAGAAAATAATAAAATTCAGCTGATCCGCTACAAAAAAATATATTCGATAACTGGTTTCATCAAATTCAAGGTCAGTTACATGTCATAGGCCATTGAAAATGTATTTTTGATTTGTGGGTATTATAATATGAACCAGTGTTTATACAATATATTGAAAAAGACGATGAATTCTGAAAAGAAAAAATGGAACCAAGGTTGGTTCAATTTTATTTGACCTGCTTGCTGCCGGAATTGATTGACCCAAGGCACACGCGTGGCATGCTAATCCGAAACATATTTTTAACCTCAGGAAAAGAAAATGAAGCATCATCAGGCTCTTTAACATACGCTTAAATTCCGAGTGTATCTGACACTAATATTATACGGTACACTCGGGTACGGTTGCACTCCGGGAGTGCCGGCAGAAGTGAAAACTTTAATATTAACGTTGTGCATTTTTGACATTTTGGAATGGTTAGGGAATAATTTTGCATGAATTGCTTTAATTATCAGTATAAAAGTACTATCATTTATGTGGTAGAATACAATATTTATTTATTGCGCTATCGTACATAAACATGACAATTTATATTACATTAAAAAGGTTATCTCTCAGAAAAACGAACATTCGCGCAAGCGCCCTGCGCCGCCTAAACGAAACAGCAGGCGCAGGCATACATTTTCGCCGCGCCGTAGAAAGAGAGGGGGATACTTCCTCTCCTACGCTGCGCCGACTGTCTACTCTCTATCCGTCTTACGAATTTTCGATCAGGTCACGTGTCCTGACGCGAGTTTAACATTTATTATCCATTACAAAACAAGTGGACCATGCTGCTAAAGAAGTTTTTTCTTCAAAAACATCTATTGTTTATGAGATTTTGAATAAACAAATTATATATGTAGGAAGTAATGACCTAATATCCTATAACTAATAATTAATAAACCTGAGGTCGCCTGTTTAAACGGTCATTTAATTACAATATATTTTTAATTTCGTGTATACCTATTTAAGTAGAAAGCTAACACACAGGTGAATAACAAAAGTTTAAAAGTGCTAAAGCCAATTAGAATTATATACGTCAAACATTATATTCTTTTCTAACTACTGCATTACGAGTACGCTACACTGTGGCACAATATCTGGACGTAACTTTGAGTGGCGCGCAGCCGACTCACGCAGCTTTTTGACATGCTGCGTCTATGCGTACGATACGTTAGCGGAAGGTGAGGTAATGTTTGCACACCTACACACCGCGCTGCAAGAGCGCCTTAAATATGCGAATTTTTATCTTTTTTTGCAGTCAGCGTTGTTGCTCCAAAAAAAACTTTTTTGCTTTAACTGACAATTACTCCACAGCAAATCATCGTACAGGCTTTTTAATGATGTCAAATTAAAGAGAATCAAATTATATAAAAGAGCTTGTTAGTGAAATAATGATAAATATTTTTTTAAAGCCCGTAGACCTTTTTTAAGACGAGCAAAAATTTGGATATTTTTTCGGCAGTTTCCTTAGGATTACTCCAGGACCAAACATTATAAAAAAACATGGCCAGAACTGAAAACAGACACTTAGAGCAAGGTTTTCTTTTTATTCAGCTGTACAATCATTTTCCTCAGAGTTACAGCTTGTTGAAAATTACCCAAAAATTTAGATTTTTTTTATATCCCTTAATTTTTGTGATTGTTGTAATTATATTCAGAGCATTAACAGTAGATATAAAAAACAATATTTTTTGCTGGTAAACCTAAATCTTATAAACTTTTAATTTAGTCTTTTCTTATTAAAAATTTCTTATAAATCCTGCCTGAATGAAGACTTTGCATTTTCATGTGCGTTTCTATTGCAACTGAGTTTTTAGTTAAAATTTAGATGGATAGATACATACTTTATTTGTACACCAGGGTTTTACAGACATTATAAAGTAATTAACAATAGATGTAATGTACAAAGGGCGGCCTTATCTCTTAGTGCAATTTCTTAAAGGCAACCTTTGGATGGACTGGATTACTTTTGAAGTGGTGATAGATATACAGAAATTAGAGAAATAAATAAGGTTTTAACCTATGAAATATTTATCATACATAAATCATACTAATCTATATTTATAATTACCACATAAATCCTACTAATTAAGACCTTAAAGCTGACAGGGAGAATATTCGTGTAGCAATAATTCCGCCATTGTACAATTGTCATTTGTGCATAAAAAATTAAAAACAAAAATACTAATGTTGCAAAAAGGAAAAAAAAAAACGATCTAAGTGGCGTGCAATGGGACAGGCCTATGTCCAGCAGTGGACTGCGATAGGCTGATGATGATGATGATGATGATGAAATAGGAAAAAGATTAAACACAGAAAAATGATGCATTACTTAATATAGTGAAGACAAGACAAACTACATAAACTATTAATAATTCTGTGTGGTGAAATTTCTCGAACGAACGAACGAACAAAGTTCTCGCGCCGAATAGAATGTATACCGACAATTTCCCAACCTCAACCGGTAGTGGTCTGTAAGAGGATCTTTCCTTTGTCCACTACAAATATGGACAAGGCTGTTATATAGCAATGGCTGTTGATATAAAAGTGATATCCCAGGATTTGGACACCTAAGATGTGTTTCTTTGTGGTGCTAACTGTACCACTCTCCTTTAAATGCTTGATTACCGACAAAGTTGACCTTCTGGTCAACTTTGTCGGAAATCATCTCGGATTAGAGTCTTCCTTATGTACAATGATGTTAATTAATAAAATCTGTTATTTTTGAATTTTACTTACAGTGACGGTAATAAACGTATCCGAGCAAATGCCTCGGGTTCATCTCCATATCCTAGCGTGTGGTCCCTGGGTGGTAGATCGTCGGCTGCGATGAGCACGACAATGAGTTTACGTAGGTCGCATTCAAACCACACCTGAAGTTGTGCTCGACCCGGGAGACGCTCTCGTGCGCGCTCAGCTCGATCCTGCTCCTAGATGTAAAATTTGCACATGTAATGGCAAATTGACAAAGCAGTAGTTGTACAATAATGTGACTTAGATTAGATATTTATTGTCTTCAAGTAATTTTAAATCCTAAAAATAGAATGATTTATATTTAAAAATCTTTTTGAAAAAGTTGTTCTGGTTTTAAAGATTAAGTCACATGGCATGTACAATCTACTAAGGAGTATTATAATACTACTAAACAAACAAATATGGAGTTGTTGGCACAAACGAAAATTATAACAGAATTTTTATGACAAGTATATCCCAAGATCCGTTATGCAAAATCTAAACCATGAATAAATATTTGGGGAATGCATAGTATTTTATATAGTCACATGCAGCAACCATCAGCTATTTTATTTATTTGTCATCAGCAAAAGAGGAAAATCATTAGATTTTTGTTTACTCTTTGCGACTTATAATAATGCATTCTTATTACCAAGAAACTTTTTTAAGAATTGGATATTTCCATTTTAATTTACGTCAAAGAAACATGCGTCGGGCTGAGGCATTTCTATGAAACACAAATCCATGAGAAAAATCGGATATATTTATCCGCCATGCAGGAAGCTGTATCATGCTGATACCGGTATCACAAGCTGCATGTACCTAAAACCTGTAGCTGAAATAAGACGTTCAGTCGGACATTCTCTAAATAGATTTGTTTTTGGTTATCCTCTAGATAAATAAATTTATTCACAGTGTTTTCTGCACAAGCTTCTGTAGGATGGGGTAGTCTCTATTCAAGTCTACATTACAGAATTGCGAATATTGGCAGTGGAATTCTTTTTCACTACAGTATAAATCTAATTTATGAAATGATCTTGTAGCATTAACTTATGTAGCAAAAAAATATGCCTATATTTGTAAGAATCTATCAATGCCTGAGAGTTCAGCTAAAGCGTTGGTTAAATTTTACTTCACTAACACTATTCTAGTTCATGTGCTTTGATATATATTTTCTTTTTCGCAAGTTTAAAACTACTTACTTTCTGTTGCATAATTAGAATCTTTAGAACATTCAGAAGCTATTAGGTTTGAATCAGAGCTACTTTGAAGTTGATTATAGCATGAATTGCATCGGCGCATTCACTCACATTAATGACGATAGAACAATAAAATAACATATTAATACTTAAAAGCGTTAACGACACACAGGTGTATTTTTACAATAACAATGATAAACGAATACATGATTATATAAACATTTCATTTCCTTCAACAAAACACATCATTTTTATTAAAATTCGTGTCACACAGAAAGGCTTTCACGTTTTTTACTGTGCTTTAACTAGATCAATGCACATATCGACAAATTGCAGCTTCATGCACTTCTGAATCTTTAATCAACGATTTTAAAAACTCAACTACATAGTTAGAGCAGTTATGTACATTGTGTCGCTGTACGGTGTCGTCATCACATGACAAAAGGGTCGACGTGCGCCTGTCGTTCAAGGTGTTCCAGTGCGGTGTACCGTGCTGCCACCACTCGAAGCTGCTAACGAGACTAATCGCTGCGAACGCCTTCGATACAAGTGCGGCATCACACTAAACTAAGTCAACAGCAAGACTCGGTAACAGACACTCGATGCGCTATATATGAGACGGTACAAACGGATGTGTGTTCGTGGTTGCAGGTAGAGCGAGTAGACTTGCGGCGTCCCAATCTCGCCTCAGTGTCGAGCCCTGTTGTCGCCGTCACTGCCATCACTACCATCCCATTTGATACTACAGTATGTCTCTTATTCCTATATCCTCATGTTTCTTCCTTCTTTTTTGTCAGTAAATGAATTGAACTGTGAGTGCCAGATGATGTGAGTACCGAGAGTGTCATTTTAGATATGTACGGTATTGTTACCATTAGTTATGCTGAAAGCTGTGGCGTATCTAGTTTCACTACTTTTTTTACCCTGTTGGTAGATAATGAGCTAATCATCCACGGTATCTTAGAGGTGATAGCCGCAGTCGGGACAAATCCCCTAATCTACCATCAAACACTAAAATTGTGGTCAACTTCTGTCTACACTTACATATAACTGAATGTTTCATCGATATTTGTGTTATTCCCGACTGATCCCTAAATCTGCCCGTTGCGATGACGACAATATGAAATTTTTCAGGTGATAGAAAAAATAAAAATCTGAAAATAAGTAGGTAGCATTTTTTCACACTCTTCACTTATGATAGTCATCATATGTAAACGGTAACGTATAACGGTTATCATAGATAGGTAACAAATAAAATATAAAAAGTATGTAAATATTTTGAGTAAACAAACAGAGCATCCCTTTATCTAAATAGTAAAGGTTAACAAAGTTAAAGTACATCTACATTCGTATATATAATAAAAACACTAATCTCTTATAACTAGACTAACGTGGAAGATGTTCGACTGATTAGTGCTACAGTATCACAGCAGATCAGTGGAGACCAGCTCTTGCACTCTAGACCCAAGCAAAACCGAAAGGCAAATCAAAACTGTGTATAGTAACAGTTTTATGTCTTTAGATTCTGTTGGGACAACAAATTTGACGAACATCGGAGCAACAGTCAACACGATAATTAACAGGGTCTCGACTGCATGTAACGAGTGATAAAAAAGATTATGACGTGTGGATACCATCAGTTTCTCGTCAAAGAAATGGCCAGAGACTCAGTCTGAAATACATGTCATTCTTTAATGCGTTTCTAGATCAAACCATTGAGTTGTTCTAGGGCGTCTTTTTAAAGCTCATTCTCTAATGTTAGGGAATCATCTTTAGATGCTTAACTTTGTTATCCATGTACAATTGTACAACAACTAACAGCAAGCCTTATTAGTACAACTCGAAGATGATCTAATAACCACATAATTACACATTGATTGAAGGAGACCACACGTTGTAATGAATGATCCAAAAAGCGCAGAGGAGTAGGCACCAAGTGACAGTCTCTACTAGAGTTTATGAAGGAGCGTTTCGCTCAATGTCTTATGGGTTCACAACACATATTGTTACAAAAAGCCTATGTATGGATATTATACCGGGGTTTTCGGCAATTTCCGTCGAGTCGGCGAAGATGGTGATTTGTCGGTATCCGGTTCTGTGAACCAAAATAGTTTAATTAAATCTCACCTAATTTATTTTAAGCGTTATAAGGAACAAATTTTTGTATTGAAACAGTTTGAATATAAAACATTGAAATACCGTTTTGCCCAAGAAGAAGGCTTGAAATGATGGTGCAGAACAAGACAGGTACAGAAAAATGCTGTTAACATATCAATTAGTTCAGGTTAAAGCAAAGACAAATAAAAACGTAGGAAGAAGTGTGGAAAAGAAAAGAGTGCGAAATATTGAAATGTATTCATTGTTTGAGACTTGACGGTGCAATAGTTTAATAAGTAGAGAAAAAATTTAGAACTTGGTACTGGATTATATATCATAAGCAGAAGTCATTATTTGAACAAGATATCTGTAAGTATTTATCTTGCTTCATCTAAGATGACATGATATTTAATAGCTGGTACGTACCGTACAAGGCATGGTGATGTAAAGAACTTTGCGAGGGCTGTGTAGGCTGGTCATCGAGCTGTGGTGCAGGCTCCACAAGTAACTCTACACTGTCACCACCGCGTTCTAGTACCGCGCATACTTCTTCAAAACTTCGTTCCGTTAGGGGTACACCACCCCATTCTAACACCTTGCAGAAATTTGAAAAAGAAATAGTATTTAGCGAGCTGTAACTAAATATATGTAGTTTGATTGAAAAATTGTTTGTGTAAAGTAAATCATGGCTTTAACTGGGTTTGAACAAAAAATATTAAAAATAAAACTGTTTTTGCTACGACTGCACGGATGGCGTAATGGTTTAAGCGGTCGCCACGCCGCTTATTACTACGCTGAGTGTTGTGGGTTCCTCCCCAAATGGGATGACACTTTGTATGGTCCAGAAATTGTTGTTCTGAGTCTGGGTGTTTTTGTGTCCATTTGATGCATGTTTGTGAAGTTCGCCGCGACACAAGATCTATTGTTAATGCGCGCGTAGTCTTTACAAAAAAAACGAAACTAATTCCTTTAACTGCTATTGATTACAGCAGGCACAGGATGTGTCAAAATGCAATGAAAATGAATGAAGAGTCATTCGTATAAGAAATACATTATCATTAATTAGTAGGTTCATTAGTAATAAAAAGTAAAATAATAACTGCCTAAATATATATCAACATGTAATAACATAGAAACCTATATGAGATGTAATAAAAATTGTGAAACATAAAAAGGGCGTATGATATATTACATGAAGTTTTGACGTTGAAATACGTTTACATGAAGTTGTTTATCATCAGTGATACCTCGCACTATCAAAGTGTCTTATGACATGTACATCAAAATGTAATGTTATTGTTAGGAAGAATACCTTATCACCCTGTTGAAGGCCGGCGAGGTCGGCAGGCCCACCAGGTACGGTCCATACAATCACGGCCTCGCGGCGACCGCTTGCGTCCGGTTTGCCACCCACTACACGCATACCGAAACCCCGCGCTGTAATTAATAATTTACTGAGGTTGGGTGAAAACCTTTATCGACTGAGGTTGTTATATTTTTTAGATTACCCATGAATGCCTTACAACGCATTATTTTTTACGTAAAGGTAAATAAATAAACATATGGGTAAGCAATAGAACCAAAAAAAATGCTTTATGTATAGGTACATAAAGCATTGTTAAAACCAGGTTTAGAATGTTTGAACTGCATATTTATAAACTTGTTAAAAGTTTAAAATATTATGTATGAATTTGCAAATTACGTTAGATCATTTGCTTTGGTTTCACAGTCTTTGAAATGTGATTTTGATACAATTTGTAGTTAAAAAGATTTGCATTATATCTTTCTTCCTAACCGTTCCCTCACTGCCGAGGATCGTGATTCCCTCTCATCCTGTCAACCATCTCGTTCTATCGGTTGCGATTAGTTGCTTGGTGGAATGCGATAATTATTGACAATTCTAACTTTTCAGCAATCTGGTCTGACCTCTATCTTCTGGGACTACAGCCTCTGGGTCTCTTCCCTTCTACCTTTCTAGTCACCATCAATCGCTCTAAATTGTCATCACTTCGGCGAGCATAATGTCCGAAAGATTAAATAATACGTTGCCTGCAAGTTGAAGACAGACTGCATATTCTCTATTTTCAGTTGTCTCAATATGAAGACACTTGTGCGATGTGCCGTCCATGGTATCCACAACATAGGGCGCCAACACCACATTTCAAAAGTCAATTCTCTGCCTATCAGCGGTTTTGATGGTCCATGTCTCTGCACCATACAGAACAATAGAGAAAACAAGTGTGCCAACAAGATGTATTTTAGTTTTGTTTGTGATATTTCCGTCGCTTGTTTGTTTAGTTGAGTCATTGCTGTCGTCGCTATGCCGATTCGTCTACGTATTTCAGTTTCGCAGCTGCCACCATGGGTAATCACAGAGCCAAGATACTGAAATCCACCGTCTCGTACTCTTGTAGAAGGTTGGTTCGCAGAACTGACGCGAAACGGTCGATAACCATCAGCTTGGTCTTCGATTTGTTGATGGCAAGACCCATTTCAAGGCTAATAGTTTCCAGTCTATTTAGCAGCTCGGTCATTCCTACTTGGTCTGCCTAGCGGGGGTTAGATATGGTGATTCCACCTATTTTGATAACCCTTTCTCAGTTTTCAAGCGTTAGACGCATTATGTGCTCACCATACATGTTAAATGAAATGGGAGATTTTACGCAACCCTGTCGAACGCATTTTTGGTGCTTGGCGTTATATTTTCAATTGCTACTGTACCGTATTCGGATTCAAAGCATCCGTATCATTCAATTGAACTGTATCAACATCACCAGGTGAGTCGGCACCCCTTCCTTAGTCAGAACCTCCCACAGCTTGTCCCATCTGACGCAGTCGAAAAGCTTTTGGTAATCTGGGTGTTCTTTGTGTCCGTTTCATGTATGTTTGTAAAGTCCCCCGCGACACAAGATATATTTAGGAATATATAGACGACTCCCGCACGTAGTGTCTTTTAAAAAAAGAAAAAAATAAGTAACGAACATATAAAAGTCGGGGCGTTGTATTAGTAATATTTTTCTACTATGAGCCTAAGGTTTAATATCTGCTCTCTGGTTCTTCTACCCTTAACAAAACCCGCTTACTCTTGTTGAATCTGCCAATCAGGAAAAGAGTGTAGTCTTGAATTGATGGTATGTAGTAGGATTTTGCTAGCATGTGATGTTAGGCTTATTGTTTTATAATTGTTGCAGTTACGTACGTACGTACGTACGCTTACGAATCGCGTCTTCGATTTCAGAGCGGAGTATGCTCGGCTCTGGATCCACTGCTAACTCAGCTGGTCGAGTAGGCTGACTTAAATGTTCTTAATAGCGTTCCTCACAATAGTATTTCTCAGCGACCTTTGCGATTACTTTACTTTTGTCATTAACAGATAATTTGTAATGTTTGGAAGTTTGACAAATTCGGAGTTAGCTCCTTTCAATCATCATCGACACTTTAATGCCTCTTTTTGTTTGTTGTTCAATTTATAAAAAGATTCGAATTAATGAAGGAATTAAAATACCACCCGTGTCCAGGCTCCTATGGCGTATTAAACGGGATGAGGAATCGTATTAAGCGTGATATAATATATGAAAACACGCCTCCAGTTCCAAAGACTGACGTAAAATGCTGTATTATGCGTAAAATTGTATTCCGATCGTATTAAGCGAAGTGTTACTTTTATACACATTATATGTCATATTTAAGATTCCGCGTAATGATGGATTCAGAATACGGAGTGTTATAACCCCTATTCACCATGTGGGTGTCATAAGAGGGCAAACTACGCAGAACAACAGCACTGCAAAGAGAAGGAAAACTTGACACAAACCTTAACCCGTCTGGCCAGCGTGGTATAATAGACAAAAACCTTTCTAAGGAGAGGCCTATGTCCAACAGTGGATTATTAAAGGCTAATGATGACGACTTAAGAGGCCGAGTTTACACTTACAACAAAGAGGAACTAAAGGTCCTAGTTATAATTTTTTTTTATTAAAAAATAATAAATTGATTCTCGAATGATACATGAACATAAATGAAACTACTTTCAATATTTTATTAAGAAACTAAGACATGACACATTATATACAATGGTACTGTATACAGCATACAACAATATTATACAAAACGAAAAATTAGTACGGAATTCATGTGAAAAGGCTTGAAGTTTATTTCAGATTGGATTGTAGTATAATTTAATTATATATATTAAGATTATTTACTAAGTTCTATTTATTTTATTGAAAATATGTGGTCTATGACCAAGAATAGATTAATGTTGTCAATTTTTCGTCGTTTCTTGTGTGCCTGTATACATTTAAACTAACACTTACATCGGTGTCCCTTATCATTAGGATCACGGCGCAATGAGACGCGTCTCGGCGTTTGATCATCAACGTCATGTATGACAATCTTGATAGCTTCAGCGTCGACGGACATTTGACGTGCGGCTGCTGAAATTGCAGCCGCTGTAGCGGCAGACAAGGCTGCGGCTGGGTCGGTTAATGAGTCTGACGTACGAGACGTTAACGCAGCCATCGCGTTTAGAGCCCCTGTTCGCTGTTGTAATGCTGCTATGTCTGGCCTGTACAATGATAAATCAGTTCTCAAGAATATGTTTTAACTAAAATACAACGACCGCAGTCCTAAAACTTATTAAAATACACTTTTTTGAGGGAATGTTACTATTTTGTAGTAAATCGGGTTAGTCATAGTACAGACAGAATAATAGACGTAACATAACAAATCTTATCTAGACTAATATAACATTATAAAGCTGAAAAGTTTATTTGTTTGTTAGTTTAATTCAAAGCGCAAATCTCAGGAACTACTTGTTTCGAATTGAAAACATCTTTGTGTTTGATAGATTATTTATCGATCTATCGCCTATATAACATCACGCTACGACCAATAGGAGCCAAGCGTCAATGAAAAATATTGCAAAAACTGGTCAAATTTATTCCTTTTGAGAGACCAGAGTTTGCAATAATTTTATTTAAATACATATTGTATAAAAGATCCAACCGTGAGAACTACCATTAAGCAGACGCAGCATAATACATCTTCAGTAAGTTTGTTACTTCGCGTAATCTTATTAGGAACACGAAATAATACGACTAAGATGGAAGAAAAAAACGAATTCAAAAACAGGATTTAGGTATGTCATGCATCAGTCATAAGTAAGTAAAATATTTTAATAGGCGATCACATAAATTAACCTACTTCCAAAAATTATAGTTAACTTACAGTTGACTGCCACGACGTCTGATGGGTCGATCTTCATCAACGCTGAGACCGGAAATTTGTGGTGTAGAATCCATGTCCTCTGTGCGGTACGAGCCACGCCTAGATGAAGCGCCGGCCACCATATCCACTGCCGACGATCTATTTTGACATTTTATTAACAGGGATAATAAAATATTAATCTGATTGGCTGAACTTTTCGTCAAGATTTACGCCTGATCTACTAATTACTGCCTCATCGATGGATACGGTATTGCAGGCCAAGTTTCGAAACACCTATTGACATGTAAGTTAATTAAGTGTAAATTGCTGCTTCACCTTCTCATACTCATAAAAAAATACATTGAAAACTTGTTCTACGTACGAATAAACACATACATATTACTAAAAACAGTGGAAGTAACTGATTTCAGGGAGCTATTTTGTGATGGCAGTACAAGACTAAAACAAGAGCTGTAAAGTTGAACGAAACAACTACGATGAAGATGATACAGAAGATTAAAGGACGTATCTTTATGTAGGCGTACCTCCTGGATATGGAAGGTGCATTGAGCGCTTGATGCGCTGGCGATTGCTTGCTCGTGGGTTGATCCTCGTCGCAGGAGCGCTGCCGAGGAGCGCGCACTGATCGACGGCGAGTCGGTGTCACGGCGCTCGGCCGTCGCGACTCCACTTTTGGCGTCGCGCTGCCGCCGCCCTTTAACTGCCGCCGCGGGCAGCGTGGTTACGAACTCAAACTCATACACGTATGTTGCTTTTATGGGTAATTAACTAGTAGCTAACAAGTCTCAATCACTAGAAAACGTCTTCTTTTGATAAAGATCACTGTCCTTTGTTTTAGAAGATAGAAGCAATTTCTCTATGATCTGCTCATTACCATTGAATAAGTATTGAAAACACAATCCATTTTTCAATGAACTAATAAATATTTATTAGGAATTGATATTCTTATACTATATTTTGTCTGTGGTTTTAGAATCAAAAGTATAACTTTGATTTTCATTTTTTTGATAGTGAAGTATATGATACTTATGATTAAATTACCAAAATTACTGTCTGATTTTCGGCCAAATCTAATTGGCCGGATGACAGTGTCCGTGTATTATTTTTATCTCTGAATAAAACAAAAAAATGATCAAACAATTAAAGAGTATAAAGTTTCGTCGGTTTATCAGTGAATTTCACACCGCAGTTAAGCGCTTACCTATCTTTGAAGCTAGTAATACGACAACCGATTAGCATTACCTTCTCCAGTTCCTTTAAGGATGCTGGTGACACATCTGAGTGACGTCGTAGTTCTGGTGATCGCGGCGGCGCAAGCCCAGAGCTTGCACCACCGCTGCCGAGTCGAGCTTCGGAGTGCCGCCGTTGTAGCGCGTCCAGCACGGGCACATCTAGTAGCGAGTCTGTACTGTCTTGAGCAGCAGGAGGTAGCCGCGGCGCCGCTTTACGTCGACATACTGAGCAACGCCACGAATTCTGATAAAAATACGTATATCTTGATTTCAACGTGCAAGTAACATTTTTAAAATACAAAGATTTCATAGCAATCAACCATCTAGTAACTTGGCAATTTTCATTATAATATATCATATATGTATATCAGCGTGAAATCGAAGTTGCCGTCCAAATTTTTTTTAGGCACACATGATTTAAGTTGCAAAAAAAAATGGTAGGTAAAATTTTCAACATAAAATATTTCATTCCGAATAAAATATTTAGCAGCATGGTCACTGATTCAAACATATAAAACGTAAACAGTGAGAGAAAGAATGCATCGGGGGACGCGGTGTGGCGGGGTGATGCGAAACCCGGCCGCCGCTCGTTAAACAAAATCTAGACTACATTTTGAGCATTTATTAAAACACATGTAAAACAGTAGTGGTAAGTTAACCTCTAACCTAATTACTCTTGACATTTTGTACCATGTGATACTAAACTAAAATGCGGTTTTCTCATAAATTTTACTAAAGATTCTTCTGTGTTAATTTGGAAAGTTCAAGGTCACCCTGTATATTGTCAATAAAGTGTCTTACAGCGTCTTCGTCGCTGGCTGGTTTGGAGTATGATGAGCAATCTTCACAAACACGATGTTGGCATCCGTTGCATATATGAAATACTTCACCAGGCTTCAAGGCCTTTAGGCATACACGGCATGCGCCGGCACGAGACGGCGCTTTACCTGCCTCTCTGCAAAAGGGCATATAATTAGTAAAGGAGGAAACGAAACCTAAACCAACTTCAAGTTTTTTGTTTTTGTCAAGAACCCACATCAGTATAATTAGTTCGATGTAGTAACCTAATAACAAAAAGAATTGCTATGAAATTGTTCTGAATACTGTTCTTGGTTGGCAAAGATTAAAAATTTAAGAAGAAAAATAAAGAAGGTTTCTGACGAGACTGGGAAATTGTTACCTGTTTAACCTATCCTTTATTTACCTTTATTAAACTTTGAAAAAAAAAAACTACGAGTACACGTATTTGCCTTGAAAATAGAGTAGGACATACGAGTATATTGTTTTTTAATTCCATGTTAACATTCACAGATATTTTAAACTAAAAGAAACAAATACAAATTCTGAACTCATAATAGTAGTGCAAAAACCGTGATTAGTGAAGTGAAGGAATTTTGGCTGTTTATCAGTTATGATATGATATATTCGAGTAGTTGTGGAAGCCACTCACCGTTCAGTCTTGGCTGTTTGTGCTGGTGGTGGTTGAGCTGGTGGCGGTGCCGGCGCGGGCTCCGCTGGAACCTCGGTTACACCTTGTCTAGGACCTAGTTTTGTAACTGAAAAAAAAGGACGACATTTCAACTTATAAACTTTCAAATCCTTACAATGGTGCCGAATACTTTAATACTCTCGAACTACATTAAAATTAACTGCTTCAAAATGAACTAAAAGTCATTCAAACTCAAATTACATTCAGTTCATTGTTATGAAATTCTGAATTGGAATGAAACGATGGGAATTCAAATAAGTCCGCAGTTTGTGTCTACCTTCCGAGCAGGAATCCGCTAACAATGCGTGCCTGCTCCGCGCTCCCCCCTAGCCCGGTCCTGTGGGAGAGGCGCACCGTGCGATATTTCGCTATGAATATTAAGAAACGATCATGAATTCCATTGTGAACTACTCTCAGACCCTATCAAATACCTAATACGTTTTTATCTTGAGCTCATTTCACATTAGAATGCGTTAATATGAAATCCTTAATAAAGGTAGGTATAGAATAGATTGCAACATTAATAGAAACCTTTTACGACTGCTTAGATGAATCTTTTCGTTTATCATTTGTCTTACGCTAATTGCATAAGAATATATGGTAAAGATACCTTAGGATAATTTCTAAGGTATTTATTACCAAACACCCTTATCTGCTACCAATAGGCGGATTCGAATAAAGTTTGAAAAATAATAACATCAAAATTTACCTTTTACAATTAATGATTACTACGATTCTTTATGAATATATACATAAAACCAGTAAAATCAGAAAGAAAAATGAATGCCTACATAATTATGTTTTATGTTTTTATTGTTCTACTGCAGACCAAAGGCTTCTCTTTACGGCTTGTATAAAGGCGTAAAATTCGAGTTTGACGGGATTTGAATCAACTGACCATGGAGTGGCCGCTCTAAGCGCCAGGTGGTAAGAGGAGCCAAATGCGATAAGCATGTTTTAGCGTAAAATAAATATTTGAATTTATTTAAGAAGCGCTTGTATGTGCGCCTCCAACATCACAGCACTCGCAATACATAGGAATGAATAGATCTAATGACTATAGTACTACTTTTTACAATTATGTCATTCAGGGTTCTGAAAGTCCATTTCTAGTCATAGAAAATAACAAATAATACTTGTTTAGTAATTTTGAAGAGAGGTGGACTTAGGGACGATGATATAAATGAATATTTTGGCACTGGATGAATATAAATAGCTTCTGTAAAATTAAATATACTTGAGTGGCCTTTTCTGGCATAATCTTGCTTGCATTAACATTATTTATATCTATGTAGAAAGTTTCTTGAGTGGTTATGATGTTGTTTCTCCTAAAAAGGTTTTGATCATAACTAATAATAACAACATTTTAGTACACGTGTATTTTACTCGCATTTAAGTTTGTAAATATATGCGTAGAATATATAGAAAAACTTAGAATAATGCGAGTACGTATTTATGTGTAGGCACATTAAAGTTACAATACAAATAAGGATGTTAATGTACGTCCTCAAAAAAGGAAATCTTGACTTGACCAAACCCTTTTTTTTTTTTTTTTTTTTTTTAACGTGTGGAAATCCCCTCGGACCGTCACCCCTCCGGGGTTTGCGGCGGGGTGGTGTGTCGGACTCGGACCGACTAAAACCACACGGTGTGCCACTCTGCGCCTGTAACAGGAGGGATCCGGGAACAGCTGTTGTTAAGACATCCGGACCCCTCCTAGCGCCAGCCCGCTCCTGGTGCGGGCTCCGTCTCAATGTTTTCCTCTCTTTATAGGCGACGTCTAGCACACGCGGACGCCGCCCCCTCGCGGCTGGCCAAACTAATGCGGGTGGAGGGGAAACCCACCCCGTCCACCCGCGGCCACACTCAGGGCGGCATGAGGCTGTGGTAGGCGGGCCTCCGCCGCCCGGTTCGCCGGCGGCGGATCGGGTCCGAGTGGAGGTCGTCCTCCCGGGCCCTCTCCGCCGCCTCCTTCCGCGAGATTACTACCTCGCAGAAGGTTGCGACCGCGGTAAAACAACTGTCGCTACCGGAGAGATCCACTCCGATGACTGCAGTGAGGGCCCGGCGCTGCGCCGCCCATGCGGGGCAGACCGCCAGCGTGTGCTGGGCCGAGTCCTCACTGCAGTCGCAGTGGTGGCAGGCGGGACTCAGTTCCCTCCTAGCGACCGTGTGCAGGTACTTTCCGAAGCAACCGTGCCCGGAAAGCACCTGCGTCAGTCGGAAGGAAAGGGTCCCGTGCTGCCGCCCTGCCCACTCGGCGATGACCGGCTGGAGAGCCTCCACGGCGGCGAAGCCAGCGCGTGGAGTCTCCAGCCGGAACGACCAACGAGCCATCGTGGCTCGGCGAGCGGCTTCGCGCCACTCGCGCACATCCTCGGGCGGAGGGCGAAATCCGCTCTCCGCCCGGGAGTCAGCCACTCGCCGATAAACTTCGGCGAGCACTTCCGCCTCCAAATCCCACGGGGGAGTTCCGGCCAACGCGCATGCCACCTCCGTAGAAACGGTGCGGTAACCGCGTATGGCTCTGACCGCCATTACCCTCTGAGGGCGCCAGAGGCGTACCCTATTCTGGGCGGTCAGAGCCGCCGCCCACACCGGTGCACCGTACAGCGCCATTGACCGGACAACCCCCGTGTACAGCCGTCTTGTCGCGACGCTGGGTCCACCCATATTGGGCAAAAGTCGCCCTAGGGCAGACGCAGCGCCGACCAGCTTTGGAGCAAGCTGTCGGAAGTGCTCGTCGAAGAGCCACCTCCCGTCGAGGATCAGGCCCAGATATTTCATCTGGGCCCGAACCGGTACGAGGACCGAGTTGACCACGATTGAGGCGCCAGGGGGTGGACCACGACGGGGCCCATGGAATAACAGGGCCTCCGTCTTATCTAGGGCCACCCGTAAGCCCAGCGCCTCAATGCGCCCGACCACCAGGGAGACTCCCCCTGTGGCCAGGCGCGCCGCCTCTTGGAAGTTTGCCCCCCGGGCTGTCACGAGGGTATCGTCTGCGTAACAGATTACACCCAGCCCGGGGGGGAAATCGGCGCGAAGGGCCCAGTCGTAACAGACCCCTGTGGAACACCGCACGACATGGGCCGACTCCTCAAATTACCTTCTCGGTCCTCGTACACGACGGTACGCTCCTCTAAGTAGTCTGCCACTAGCCGCCTCAGGTACTTTGGCACCCCATGATAGTGGAGTGCTTCCCTGATGCAGCTGAATGGCAGACTATTGAATGCGTTGGCGATGTCTAATGACACCGCCAACAGCACGCCGCCACAGCTCACGGCCTCTTCGGTCACGGCCCTCAGGCGCAACATGGCGTCGACTGTCGAACGCCCCGCCCGAAAATCAAATTGGGCGTCCGACAGATCGGGGCCCACCTCGCAGAGGTGCCGGACGATGCGGGCAGAAAGAACCCTCTCAAACAATTTGCCCGCCTCGTCCAGCAGCACGATGGGCCTATAGGCCGCGACCGAATCGGCAGGCCGTCCCGGCTTCCTCAATAGGACCAGCTTCCCGTTCTTCCAGCACTCAGGGAAGCGTCCCGACGCCAATCTGGCGTCGAACACCTCCCCGAGGCGGTCTGCCATGTGGTTGAGGGCCAGGGCCAGCACTCGGGCCGGTACCCCGTCTGGCCCAGGGGCGGTGTTCTTGGAACGGATCCGTAGAACAGCCGCCCCTACCTCCGAATCCCGGACGGGCGGAACATTGTCCTCCCCGTGCTCCCCGTCGTCTCCGGCCAGGGAGGCCATCGACGGGGGAGTGTGTTCCGCTCGTTGTGGGAAAAGGCCCTCAACCACTTCTCGCAGGAGGCTGGGCTGGAGAGTCTCCACCGCGTGTCGCACCGCGCGATAAGGGCGACCCCAGGGGTCACGATTAAGACCCTCCAGCATCTCCTGTCTTTTTTCTTCTTTGGCGCGGCTAATGGCCAGCTTCAGAGTTTTTCGCACCCGTCGGTACTCCTCATGAAGCCGGTCCTCCTCACCGTCTCCACGGTGACGCCGCCGACTGCGCGTGTAGGACCTCCGGGCACGTGTACAGGCCGCACGGAGGTCCGCCAGCTCCTGGGACCACCAGTAGACCTCCTTCCTTGGAGGCCGACGACCTCGAACGCGGGGCATGGCCGCATCGCATACATGCGTAATCGCATCGCGAAAGCGGCCAGCCCCCACGTCGACCTCCTCGGTCGGAGCCTGAGGAGACAGCCACGAGTGAATTATGGCTGCCTCCTCTAGTAGGTCCCGGTTCAGCCTGGCAACAGCCCACCGCGGAAAGCGGGATAAACGCCGCGCCACGTGACCCCTACTGGAGTCCTGGGTCCGGGAGAGCTCAAATCGGATATACAGGTGATCCGAGAGCGTCTCAACCTCTTCCAGGACACGCCAGTTCCTTACTCGTGCGGCGAGGGCAGGGGTAGCGAACGAGAGGTCCACTATCGACCCCCCCTGCTGTCGCACGCACGTGTTGGTGGAGCCTCTGTTTAGAAGACAGAGGCCCACCGAGGCCGCCCACTCCTCTACGGCCTCGCCCCTGGCGTCCGTCCTGGGGGAACCCCACGCAATGGACTTTGCGTTGAAGTCCCCCAGCACAAGGACGTGCCCAGACGCTAGTCGCCGTATCGAGGTCTCCAAGCTGGTTAAGAAAACCTCGAAGTCGTTCAAACTCCGGTTGGGGGAGAAATAAACACCATATATGGTGATCCCCCCCCACTCGACGGCAACATATCCAGTGCCCTTGTCTCTTAGCGACAAGGGCGGGGAATGAGCCGTCGTGGAACCGACGACTGCCACGGAGCCGTCCCAGTCACCCATCCAGTTTGGACGGGGAGGGACAGAATAGGGCTCCGCGACTACGGCAACACCTATCGACCACTGTGCCATGGTTTGCAGGAAGAGATCCTGCGCCGCGGCACAGTGGTTCAGGTTCGTCTGGACCAGGAGGTTGGAGACTTGATCCATTACTGGATCGTCTCTACAACCTCCTCCATGGGCGACGACGACGACGCACGTACTACATCAGAGGCAGCCTGGGTCGACTGGCTAGCCCCTGACGTCTGCCGAGAACTGC